ATAATATACAAGTTTCACTTTTTAAATGGAATTACTGAAATAAATCTACTTTTTCATGATATTCTAATTTTATGACCAGCACCTGTACAGTCAATTTACCATTTGTCAAATTACAAGGACAGCCCGAAATTCCGTGCACCACACAAGGTGCCCTCTTTTTCCACTTGAGCATCTGCCCTCCAAAATGTCTGTGCACACCCCTGTATATAAACTTATATGCTGGTTGCACAGGTTTCGTAAACCTCAAAGTCCCAAAATAGCAGTGCTGAGCTTAGATTTTGGATAACCAATGTTCATTTATTGAATACAATGGAACTAACACATTGATGACACAGTTTATGGATTGCTGTGCATCAAGCCACAGAATCTATGAAAAACATACTGTTTTTAATGATGATAATTTAACAAAGAAAATGCACTTACAACTACTTCAGTTTTCAACATACTGTGGACAGTGAATTGAGCCATTATTATTGCTCTTAAACCAATAAGCTAGATAAATAATGTAACTTTTAAACAGTATCACACTTTTTAAAATAAAAATCACATTTTTTTCACAAAACCTTTTAATTCACATTTAACTCAGGACAAACTTTGTTTCACCAAGTTCATATCTTCCAACGTATTAAAGCATAATTTACTGTAAAAAAAGAACTCAAACAGACAAAGTGAAATGTTGAATTCAGAGAGTAAGAATGGGTGTGTGGCAGAGCCTTTTGAATCAGTCGCTGCTGTATTCTTCTATGTTCAGTTCATCTTCCTTCAACAGAAGCTGGTTTGTAGAAGACTGGGGCTGACTGGCCTGGAAACCCTTCATATCTCCTTCACTCTCCTCCTGTTCTTCTTCCTCCTCCTGTTGGTGCATCTCTTTGTCTGTTATAGCCTCTAGTTTCAATCTGTCCCTAAAACACAAAACAAAATAAAAAAAGGAATAATACCAAGGTATTTTTTAAAACTTTTTTTTTGCATTTAATATGCAAGGCTATGTTCAAAATAAAACACAAAAACTGACTTTATACATTTAAAAAACACTTCACTTTTATTTCTAATTTATACTTTATGCTATTAAAAGACACTGTGACAACCCAATTCCAGCCATTTTGCAATTTTCAAATAGGCAACACAAAAATTACCCCGTCAGTTTTAAAGATTTTGAATTCAGATTTGGTCTGGTAACAGCTGAAAGTTATGCCCTACACCAGGGGTCTGCAACCTTTACAATCAAAACAGCCATTTCTTCTCCTTGGCTCTCTAATAAAATGTGTCCAGAGCTGCAAAACAAGCTACAATTGTGATCATCAACTGGTGATCTGTGGGCCTTTTCAAGGCCTGTTCAGAAACCTTTATGGCCACTGGAGGAGACATTATAAAACTAAAGAATATATTGTTAATTTTTTATTATTTATTAATATTTTTACACATCAGGACAATGAAAACACCATAATCATGTAAACAAGAAAAATACAGTATGTATTTTATACAGAATTTCATAAAAACTAGTATAACTGAACTATTCAGGTATATTTTTTTCTAATTCTTATTAGTCTTCAAATTCATTAATGGTAATTCTAATGGATTTGAGAGAAGGAAATTGTATTATTTAAGTTAAAAAAACAGGCTTGTTGTTTTACTTTTTGTTTTAGTAGTATTAATCACGCATTTGCATACAAATTAATTTCTGTTGTGAGTATAAAAACCAAACAAATGATTCTGTTATGTTTGGTTACACTTTCAAAGAGCCACAAGTTGCAGACCTCTGCCCTACACAGACTAAGAGCACGATCACATTATATGTATACAATTCCTATGAACCTATGGTTCATAAGATACAGCATATTTCCAACAGTAAACAAATACGCACACACAGACATGAACAAAAACATTACTGGCACCTTGCCTTTGTCTGTGGGCAATAAACTGAAATGTAGAAAGATTCTATGTCTGTACCTTTCAGGGTATCTGGTTAGTGACATCTGACCCACATCCTGGATAAACGTTATCTGTTCTTTGAGACAAAAAGTAGCACACATCAATTAATCAACAAAAATATGGTTTTAAATAAATAAACTCTAAGATATGATACATTTCTGATCAAGATTTTAATACCAGTTGAACAATGGTAGGACCCATTTCCGGTACCTCCTGATGGCAAAGGCAAAAAAGCTTTCTCTCTTTGAACAGTTAAATTGAGCTGCATGCCCTCTCTCAGTGTGCCATTGCTGCTGTGTTGGACGCAGTAAGATTTTTAAACGTCTTCAAAGATCCTGAGTGTTATGGAACAAAAAGACAAGTGGTGGACCCAAAACAATTTCACCGGCCCTGAGCCGGAGGATCCAGTAGGCTGTCAAGACACGGGACCCAGATGAAGCTCGTCACTGATGCCAAATGCAGCCTCATAAACATCAGCAGCATCTGTGAGGGAAGGGTTTTAAGAACAAAAACATCTTCGAAGGCCTTGTCTCTTCAAAGGTACAAAATCACCTGTTTGCAGTTTGAACGAGACACTAAACACGAGACACTGAAAGGTAGAAGAAAGTTTTATTCTCTGAGGAGAAAAAAATTAACCTTGATGGTCCTGATGGCTTCCAACGTTACTGGCATGACAAGGAGATCCCACCTGAGATGTTTTCTGCACGGCACAGTGGTGGGGGTGCCATCATGATTTGGGGTGTGTTTTCCTTCAATGGAACAATGGAGCTTCAGGTTGTGCAGGGGCGTCAAACGGCAGCTGGCTCTGTAGAGATGTAGTAGAGGGTCTCCCTCATGACTGAGGACCATGGCCTGTGTGGTAATGACTGGGTTTTTCAACAGGACAATGCTGCAGTTCACAACACTGCCTGACAAAAAGACTTATTCCAGAGAAAACATCACTCTTTTGGACCAGCCTGCATGTTCCCCGGATCTAAATACATCTGAAAACATTTGTGGTTGGATGGCAAGGGATGTTTACAAAAATGTACCGCAGTTCCACACAGTGGATGCCCTCCATGAAGCCATCTTCACAATTTGGAGTACCGTTCCCTCTAGTCTCCTGGAAACACTAGCACCATGCATGCCAAAACAAATTTATCTGATATATTTGATATATATTTGAAACAATGGTTTGACTACTTATTACAGCCTGTTCTTTATTATTATTTTTAAAATTTAAAAAGATTAAAAAGAGAAAAAACAAATAAAAAAATAAAATGCCCCCCTAAATACACTGAAAAATAAAAACAGGTTAAAAATAAACAAATAAATAAATAAAAGAAACAATGAAAAAGAAAACGTACAGCCAAATGATTTCCATTAAACATATATTGTGTCTTACATGAAAATCGAATAACGGTCTCCATACAGTGGTTTGCAAAAGTATTCATACCCCTTGAACTTTTCCATATTTTGTCACATTACAACCACAAACATAAATATATTTCACTGGAATT